TAGATACTAGAATAATAACAGTTAGTCTTATAGTCTATACGTATAATGATCATTAGATAACTGAAATAATGAACCAGTTCGTCCTTATAGTCAATCCGTATAACCATCATTAGATGACTGAAATAATGAACCAGTTCGTCCTTATAGTCAATACGTATAATGATCATTAGATAACTGAAAGAATGAACCAGTTCGTCCTTATAGTCAATACGTATAATGATCATAAGATAACTGAAATAATGAACCAGTTCGTCCTTATAGTCAATACGTATAATGATCATTAGATAACTGAAAGAATGAACCAGTTCGTCCTTATAGTCAATACAACAGCAACATATGCTCTATTCGTTGATCTGCTTCGAAACTTTTTGCAGTTCGACAACGCTCCAAATAGTTTTAGTAAATATTATAACACACATCTCGTACTACCAGGAAACTTCTAACTGAACAAACATAAATGAAAAAGCCTTACCACGTCTGTGTAATGTATAAACACTTTGTTGTTTACCCAAACACACTGCGTAAAACAAAACTCAATACTACAAAGTTCATTTTCATTACACACCAAATACACACGACTTTATGCTTTTCTCAGATCCTCTCCTTAAATAACAAAATTCCTTTTTTCCATCTAACCCTATTTTAAACAAGAAATTCAGAGTTAAATAATAATTCTACTAAATTACATTTTACAAGAAACAATTTTTTAATCATGATATAACAGTATTACTCTATTTTCATAAGTTAAGAAAAAATAAAGTTATATACAGTTAATTAATTATGAAAAACATCTTTCAATCTTCCAAATTACCACAACTAATAACTTACAAGTACATTCAAGCAACAACCTGTTTGATCTTGAAGTCAAACCAATTTTTTTTTTTCCTTTTTCAGAAAGTATATCCTGATCGCTAAGAAAGCATATTTGACGTAAATCGTAGTGACTCTCCAACTCTGAAATTAAACAAACAAAGGGGGGGTTAATATATGATCTTACTTTGATTTCAGGAACATTCTGTGTTTATTTGAAAGTATACTTTGGAGTCACGAACATTCTTTGAAAGGGTGCTTTGGTTTCAGGAATGTTCTTTGATTATGTGAAAGCATACTTTGGATTTACGAATGTTCTTTGATTGCATGAAAGTATGCTTTCGTTTCACAAAAATTCTCTGATGGCATGAATATATGCTTTGGTTTCAGGAATGTTCTTTTGGTTATATGAAAATATGCTTTGGTTTCAGGAATGTTCTTTTGGTTATATGAAAATATGCTTTGGTTTCAGGAATGTTCTTTTGGTTATATGAAAATATGCTTTGGTTTTACGAAACTTCTTTGATTATATGAAAGTATGCTTTGGTTTCAGGAATGTTCTTTTGGTTATATGGAAATGTGCTTTGATTTCAGGAGCGTTCAGCGACTATATGAAAGTATACTTTATATTCCCGATCGTTCTTTGACTGGATGAAAGTATACTTTGATTTCACAAACGTTATTTGATTATATGAAAAAGTGTTATGGTTTCATAAATGTATTTGATTATATGAAAGTATGTTTTGGTTTCAGAAACGTTCTTTGATTGTATAAATTTCTGCTTTGGTTTCAGGAATTTTCTTTGATTATATGACTTGTGGATATAGTCTCACCACCTATCATTCTTACTCGAGGTTTTGATGTTTTAATTCGTATCAGAATTCATAAAATAATTTGGTTATCTTTGAGAAA